ATTTTCTTCTCCAGTATGCCAATATAACAGCTTAAACCCTAAATGATAGTTCCATTTTCTTTTCCAGTATCCCAATATAACAGCTTAAGCCCTAAATAATAGTTCCATTTTCTTTTCCAGTATGCCAATATGACAGCTTGAACCCTAAATAATAGTTCCATTTTCTTTTCCAGTATCCTGATATAAGCACAGATAGTAACCCCAATATAAACACATTTCCACAATGGCCCAGATGGATGAGCGAAATCTGTGGAATGTGGCTTACGCTCGCGCCAACAATGGTAGTTTCCTAAATAGGTGGACCCCAATAAGGACCCCAAAATACTATAATCCTTATTATGAGGATGCCCAAAGAGGTACCCGGAATTTTGGGAAACCCTCAACAGTCATAATATCTTCCTATATAACCCCTATATTCCCCTGTTGGGATGCCCCGCTCATGTATGCACCTAGTTGATGTGTGACATAAGTCGGCCCAGGATCCGCGACCCAACCCAGCCCATTCCATAACCTCGGCCCCTTCGCTGTTCTCGATAGGGTTTAAGGTTCATAGTTTAGGGTTTAGGTTGAAGGGTTTGGGGTTTAGGGTTTATGTTTAGGGTATATAAGGTTTAGGGTTTAGTCCTCCTGACTTGTATGTAGACGCCGTACAGAGGGCCGTTCCTAATGCCCAAGGCCTATGATGGCCCTTGTGTTTTCGTGTAATCCCCCGGTCTACAGTCAAGTCACTGTGAGCAATCACGTCCAGAAGCGGCAAAACCCGGCAAGCAGAAACATTCTACAATACACAAACGGTACCTTATTGGGAAGATGGAGTATCATTGGGATTATTCCCATCTCCCTCATTTCAGCGCCCCCGTGATAGTAAGTATTCTTGTGGTATATAGATAGGAGTGTATATTTGTATAGACGGCGAATGTGTAATGTTAGAGCTTCAGGGGACTTTAATATTAGGCGAGAGGAACTATAGGGGAGGTAATCCAAAACTCCAAGGCATCACTTCTCATCCGACCTACTAGCTGGGGACCCACTGCAGTCCTACTGCGCCTTCGACAGCTTTTGATTCTTGCTGAGGGTTAAAGGGTCTGGGGTTCACCTTTATACCTGAAAGACCTTCAGTTCAAAGGCTTCATATAAAGTTTCTACGGCTGGATAAGCAGAAATGGAGGTGTTGTGCCGGGTTGGGGCCAAAGCTGCATGAAACTTACATAGAGTACACAGGTATTCTGGGAACCCCTTGTCAAGGGCACATTTTAGCCCCATTACGCGGTTTAAGCGGCTGCGCGGATTTTGAAGGGAAGATTTCATGAGTTGTATAGGCAGTACACAGGGAATCATTTGAAGTGCCAGTGGGCTTCTGGAAGCAGAGGAATAGTTCCTTGTTGCTGCAAAGGTTCCTCAGCTATTGGGCCTACACGCTCTGCTTGCAGTTCGTGAGCCACATCATCGACATGGACACCTTTGTCGCGTCCAAGATGTGGATCTCCCTTGCCCTCGTGTTCAGCGTGGCAAACTTGGTGCCGCAGATGCTGTTCATGCCCTTCGTTGCCCACTCTTGGCGGCTTCAGCTACGGGATCTTGAGTCGTTGCAGAGGCAGCTGGCAGTGTTCCAGTTTGACAGAGATGTTAGCTGCCATTGCTGTGATATCAACCATGTTCACCCCGCTACCGGCAACTGGGGCTGAAAAGTGAAACTCGAGTTTCTGACGAACGAGGAAGTGTTGAACATGTGAACATCTTGTTTTTGTCACCACCATAAGGTCACTTATTTGAACCTTCAGTTCTGCTAAGGAAGTCAGATGACCTGCGACCATGAAACCATCCGAGAATGCATCCGCATATGGCTGCTTAACGAGATGGTAACAAATTACAAGCCATCTATTCTTTTGCTTCACGTAGTGTGGGTGTATGGAGATATTGGTAATCAGTTCTGGTGACAGGAGAAGCAGCGGCAGGTGGCAGTGACCATAATGCCCTAGGGTTTATGGGTTTAGGGTTTATAGTCCCCCTTAAGTAGATAGAAAATGGCTTTGGGTATATTATAATAAGATGCCCATATACCCCATATTCTATCTGCTTAAGGGGGACTATAGGCTTGCCTGCCTGACGCCTCGAATGTTAGGATTGTCGTTATCCACTTACTTTGCTGAGGTTTGGCTCCATAGCAGAGTTCGAGACGATCGTTCAGGAGAAGGTGCGCTGTGTAGCATTTCCCCCTTGCTTAGTCATTGGGTACTGCCCCCCCGCCAGTAACAGTCTATATTAGGGGTCCTATTAAGGGCTATGTATTACCGTATTATGATTACTATCCTACTGTTAGTGAGGGGAGGGCAGTACCCAACTTAGTCACTTAGTCTTGCTTGTTGAGTTCGATCTGCATTGACGCAAGAAGCCACTGAACCCCAAAACTCCTGCCGAAAAGGTAGCGTCTGCCTTCAAGGGCAAGTTCCACGACCATCCTGTGCCGTACCATTGGATCCTGGGAGCTACAATCCCGACTGTTTGGCAGCTAGACTTTTTGTGGGGGAGTTAGTCAGGTGGCGCCCCATCCAAGAGCAGTGGCCATAAGGATTATAGTCATTGCTCTAGGGCCTATATATATATATGCCTATAGTACCACTTTTTGGGGTAGGGGCCTTACCCACAAGTTTGGGGCTTTTGATTCTGTGTCTATGGATATATCTGTGCTTATTCTTCTGCAGCCCCAACTGCTCTTTTGTCGGCGAACCCATTGATATATTAAACCCTGTCCGGCAAGTCATGCCAGAGTGGATCTGGAGCATGATAATTTTGTAAGTGTATATGTTGCGTAGCTGCTACCTGCTTTACAGGGGCACTTGGAACTCTTACTTTGCAACCGGGGTGTCTAGGGGTTTATAAAGCACCCGGCTCCAACCCTCTCTGGATTGTGAAAGTACTCGCTAGCACTGTATTGACATGCGTTGCAATGGAGGGATGCGGTTGCTTCTGTTCCTATGCGAGAGAAAACATTCTATACTGGGACCCTCCGACTACCATCTCTTATTACCTAGGCGCCCACAGTCAGGGATTCTACAACCAAAATTTAGCCTGCAAGGGGGTGGGTCTTGGTAGGGGCCTAGCCTGTATAGGTCGAGCATGTACAATGTCGCGCAGTCCATCAGCTATGGCGCTGATCCTTTCGCTGTCGGCATCCAGGTTTTGAGGGTGTAGGGTTCAGGTTTCTTGCATAGCTTGTAGAAAGGGTCTGGAACACGAACAATGGGGATGGGTTGATGTCTTGCATTTTTCTATCGTCTGGGTCTTGCGGTACGGCCGAATGATGTTCCAGCTTTCTAGTTTCTGCTGTAGGCAGGAGTGTCGGGGCTGCTGGTTCAGGACACTTGGGTGTAGTCTACCTGCTAAAGCATGCTTTGCCTTCCCCTTGTTTTACTGGATGGGGTTTTCGTTTGAGACCACCGCCCTGTTGGATTTTATTCGGGCTCTAGCAGGGTTCTACAAGGCCCTAGAAAGTATCTGCCTCGCCAGTGCCGGTAGAATTTGCTCTTGAGCCGAATAGAACCCGAAATAATGCCCGGAAAGTGCCCGATCCACCTCTGCATAGTGCCCAAATCATTCTTCTTTCTAGGACTAACGCTAAGCAATTCAGCTAGTCATTTCATAGCCTAACCTTGACTTGGAAGCTTCAGCACCCTGGATGTACTATCTTAGCTTCTTAAACTTGGCAGGTAAGGTCCTAGAAACAAATACCTGACACATTCTGACAGTAGCATGGAAGGAACGCATGCAAATCTGAGGGCACCCCACCATCACTAGCATTTCTAAATTCTCAGTATGTGCATATACATTCGCCCTAGGCCCTAAGCTTGATATATATATATATATATGTGTATATATATATATTCCTCAAGCCCTAAACCCCAAGATAAACCCGAAATCCTACAAAGCTGTGCTTGGCGCTGACCCAGCCGGGCAAAAAGGAGGTACAACGCCGAGGGCCCAAGATCGAGCGCCCTCCCCAGCCCCCTAACCTTAACCTAGAACACGACGCCTTCTTAAAGGCTCCCTCTCTCTCTCTCTATCTGTCTGTTTCTGACTTGGCTTGCAACCCCTTAGCTTTAAAGCCCTAAAATCCCCTGAAGCTAAGCTACCCCAACGCCCAAAATCCCAGAGTCCATCAACCCCTAAACCTGAAACCCCTACAGTCCCAAAATTCTGAAACCCTGCGGCCCTAAAGTACCTTCATGCCCAAATCGGCAGAGACCCCGAAGTCTGTAAGATTTAGGAAAGGCTCAAGATGCCCCATCAAGGGTTCCATTCCCCTTCTACCTCTCCCACATTCTCCCTGAGTTAGCCTCAAAGAGGTTTAGTATGCTAAAGCCGCCCAAATTCAGGGGTACCTGGGGTGGTTAGCATGGGAGGAGTGGTATAGGGGGGAGTAGTAGGCGAACCCAGGACACAAACAATTAGACCATAAAGGCAAACTTCCTGATCCCTCGAGCCTAAACTATCGACTTAGCCTTGAAAACCCTAAACTCTAAAGGTTTAGGGTTTAGGATAACTAGATTTGAAGGCTAAACCTTGAAGGGCAAGCCGCAAACTTTAACTGCTAAATTCAACCTTGAGGGCCATACCCTAAGTCATTAAGTTCAAAACACAAGCTTCTTGACAAAAAGACCAGACCTTAAACCCCAAACCCTAAACCGACCTGCAAGGTTTTCTGTGGTCTGTCCTTCTGGCTCACTGGTTATCCGGTGCTGCTTCATTTCGAGCTACTCAGCGGTGTGCGCTTTAGGGCTTAGGGGTTCGGGGTGTTGGTGTTTAGGATTCACGAGTTGTAGCAGGCTGTACCAGTTTCTAGCAGTTTAATGGTGTACGGCTTTTCGGGCTCAGGTATAGGAGCCTTTCTTTTCAGGTTCAAAACTTGTTTCTACTAGTTTCGCTTTGGGGGGGGTACTGCTATAGGGCGTGTTTTCGAGTATGGTCCATGTTTAGGGAGTCCCTTGCAAATGCGGATCTGGCTGTGATAAGTGTCCCATTCCATACCTTTGATGATGAGTGTCTAACTCCAATCTGATGTTCTGAGGTGTATAGCAGCCTCTGCCAACATGACAAATCCCGAGAGCCAACCCTACCTTACTAAATCTTAGCCTGTGGGTTTCGAGCTCAAGCAGAGCCTCAGATTAAGCGCTCAGAGTCCCCAGTTGAGATGAAGCAAGAAGAACCTATCCCTGAGCCCTAAACCTTGCTGTGAGCGATTTGCATGTCTAAACCTTAAGCCTTCTTCACAAGCGCGTCTTTTTTTGGCTGAAAGGTCTCCAGTGCATTTCTCGCAAGGTTCTCCCCTTGAGGAGTGTTTGAGCATCCCACTATGCACATGAGCTATATTCCAAACTCCTTGAAGGGTGGTTATATAGGTTTTCGGGTGTAGGGTTTAGCATTTCAGGTCTAAACTCCGTGAATTGGATTATACAGAGGAGTATTATAGGGTTTTGAAGCAGAAAGGCGCGCTCTTGTGGCCTCAGTTTTGTGGCAGTGGTAAAACACTACGAAATAACATTTATAGCTGCTACACACATAATATCACGCTGTTATTGGCGGGAAAGATGTCAAGCTCTCCCATTTTTAGTTTAGCAATCTAAAAATATAAGCAAGAAAGGTCATTAGCATTTTAATTGTTCAAGAACTGGTATAGGTTAAATGGTATAGGATGTAGGATTCAACCGTATATCGTAGGATTCTTTGAAGGGC